CACCACCGTCGCCATCGTCACCATCGTCGCCAGCGCTGACAAGCTGTCGTCGTCGTCGACAGGTACCGCACGACGGAGAATCCGCACCTGCCCTTCCGCGTGCTGTCGGCCATCAACGAGGCGGGCTCGACGCGCGTGGAGATCAAGGTGACGGTGAAGGCCAACTTTGCGCCCAATCTGTTCGGGCAGCACGTGATCATCAAGATCCCCACCCCGAAGAACACGGCCACCTGCCGGCTGAGGGTCACGGCGGGCAAGGCCTTCTACAAGCCCGAACTCGAGGCCGTCATCTGGAAGATCAAGCGCTTCCCGGGCGGCGCCGAGTTCGGTCTCTCCGGTGAGATGAAGCTCGCGCAGTCCGTATCTCTCGAGGTAGGCTCACGACACACGCACACACGCAACACACGACACACGTCATACGACACGCACGGCACGGCACGACACACACCACACGGCACAACACGCGCGGGGTACTCGCGACGTTGAGAGTTAAATGGCCGGCGTTGGGCGTTCGTGTGAAACAGAAGAAGGGATGGTCCAACCGACCGCCGATTGCGATGCAGTTCCAAGTGCCCATGTTCACCTCGTCGGGCTTTGACGTTCGCTTCCTCAAGGTGCGACCACTTCCTCCCCTTCAAGAGCACCCCCCCCCCCAAATCCACTCACGGCCACGAACGTTTCCGCGGAAACACAACGACACGACACGACACACAGGTGTATGAAAAGACGCCCTACCAGACGGTGAAGTGGGTGCGCTACATGACCAAGGCCGGATCCTACGAGTTCCGTATCTGAGAGGCCGTTGATGACCAACCCAGATGGACACACCACCCACACGCTACCAGCGCTGTGACCGTGGTCGTTTGTTTCGTGCCGCCGCCGCCTCCTCCTCTGCCTCTTGTTTGTTGTAAAGATCACACCTTACCCCCCCCCCCGCGCATGGGTGTCAGTTCTTATTTTCTCTGCGTCTGTTCAGCTTCACGCAGCAGCAGGTCTGCTCGGTGGTTGCTCACCCACCCGCACTGATGATTGTTGTTGTGTCGTGTTGTGTGTGTTGTGTGAGTGAAGAAGGAGAAGAAGAGGAAGAGGAAGAGGAAGGGTGGTGGGGAGGAAAGCGTACCTCGGTCACGCCAAGGCCGTTGGCCTCGTTGGAGAAGATGCGGAAGCCCTGGTCCTCGAGGGCCTGCACCACGGGCACGATCAGCCCGCGGTCGTTGACCCAGTGGACCTCCATCAGGATCTGGCCCACCCTGTCGCTCCAGCGCACTCCCTTGTTCTGCGTCGCGTTTGATTCCCAACAACAACAACATGTGAGCGAAAGTATAAAGTAGACGATGAAGAAGGTGTGGGTGAGAGAGTTGGTGTAGCGAGTACCTGCGCCATCTTCTCAACCAAGCCAAACTCAGCGGTCTCGATGTCGAGCTTGAGGGCGGCTAGGTAGCGCCCCTCGTGGCCCAGCACCTTCATGACCCGGTCGAGGTCGTCGAAGTTGAAGCCGTAATGGGCTGTGATGTTGTAGCGGTCGATCTGATCACGGATCTCAGGCGAGCTCGGTGATGGTCGATCTCAAACGCATGCACTTCACACGTTGGCCATCTGCACCACCCACCACGTTCAACGTTTTTCGCTACGACGAACAGGAGAAGGAGTAGAGGGTGGGGGGTTCTACCGTTGTCGGACGGCGATGTCAAAGCTGAGGTCGCCATCGATGCCGGCCGAGTAGACCAGGCAGTTGTTGTGGGCCACCGCGTCGATCTCTGCCAGGCACGTCCACTTGGGGCCATCGACTTACAACACAACACAACACAACCACAAACAACAGCAAACAGACAACAAACGCCTCAGCTCTCCAGAACAATCTCCCCCCTTTGGATGGGTCGAAAAGAGGAGGGACTAGGAGGGACGTACTGGAAGCGCCGAGGAGCTCAATGGAAGGACACGTCCTACAGCCGAGAAGAGGGTGAGCGTGGGTGTGGGCTAGTTAGTGGGTCACTAGTGAGGTGGGAGGTCGTACCAGGTGGGACGAAACAGGTACAGCTCATGCTGGGTCAGCAGGTGGGCGTGGTAGGCCTGGCGCCTGTGCAAAACTCGTCGTTGGTGCGCTCGCTCCTCTGCGAGCAGCGCTGCCAGGGCAGCCTCTTCGGGCCTTCGGGCCGTGAGCAGGACCCTTCGGTCGTCTCCGCCAGGCCCTCCCACACAGTCAGGTAGGCCCACGCGAACAGCAGCAACGATGCCAAAATGACAACGCCGGCCAGGAGGGCCGGACGCCTTGGCCTATTCGCACCCCTGCCAATTACACTCTCATCAGCCACCCCGCCATGGACACGTTTATTCGGGGGGGGGGAGGGTACCAGAGCACTTCTGGGACATACATCGACCCCAGCCAGTCTGCCAAGGCCAGTAAAACAGAAGAAGAAAACAGACACGACGCAAACAAAGCAAGACTGCCCTTATTTGAGCAACAACATTCATCAACATAACATTTTTTTAAAAAAATAAAAATAATTGATGATTTTTGATAAATAAGTTAATAGATGAATAAATAAGGCCGTTGTATTTGTCGCTCTGGTGTCTACGTGCGCCCTTGGTGGCGTGGTCATTGGAAGAAGAGCCCAACGATGAAGAGGATGTAGACGATGACCAGGGCGCATCCCTTGAAGTAGTTGGCCTTGCCCTCGATTGACAGGTAGTTGACGATGATGACGGCGAAGATGATCGCAAACACCATGAACATGGGGAACATGAGGATCGACACATCGTGGTCCACCTGCTCGCAGGGGGTGGTGGTGAGACGCGGAATCGCGCGCGGGGGGGGGGCGCCCACGGGGGGAGGGGAGGAGTCACGTACAATGGCCGACCAGCCCACGAGAACGGGAAGCATCAACAAGCAGATCTGGACTGCTGACGAGGACCCGATTTCAAGCGAAAGCGCCACGTTGTTGTGCATGGCGAACGTGATCGCGTTCACATACTGCGTTCGTTGTCGTGTCGTGTCGTGTCGTGTCGTGTCGTGTCGTGTCGTGTCGTGTCGTGTCGTGTCGTGTCGTGTCGTGTCGTGTCGTGTCGTGTCGTGTCGTGTGAGGTAGAAAAAAATAGTGAAATGGACCAAAGGAGAGGCTCTCGACGATGACGGGCCACGTACCTCGGCGGAGGAGGGCACCAGCGCCATGACCGTGGCGCCGGCGAAGGCCTGCTCGATGCCGATCGCGTCCAGCGTTGGTTCGATGGCCTTGTATGGGGGGGGGTTCATTGTACCGCCCCACAGCAAGCAAAGACGGTGCTCGCGTCAGCGTTATCGCAAGGGAAAGACGTTGGGGGGGGGGGACACGAGGTCGTACCTTGATCATTTCCTCGGCGATGAGGGAGAAGAGGGTGATGGAGATGAGCAGCACGACGACGGCCTTCCACACCGGCCACTCGGGTCCCTGGCGTATCAGTCCTTCGTGTTAGGCGTGTGCATGGTGTGCGTGTGCGTGCGTGTGCGTGCGTGTGCGACCAGGCATCGGGTACCTCGTGTCCGCCGCCCTCGCCCTCCTCCTCTTCGGGGTTCTCAAACAGGTGCGAGTGGGTTTTTAGGGTGAACAGCAGGCCCACCAGGTACCTACGCACGCGAAGCAACAACAAAATGAGTAGCCAAAAAAATGCCAATAAATTAATGTTAGTAATTAAATAATTTCCTCATATAACACACAACAAATAAAAATAGTATAAATAAAAAAATAATAAAATAACAAGCAATGATGAAAGTGAGAGCAAAAAGGGGGCGTTACGCAAAGGGAAGGATGGCGGCGACACAGTAGATGAGCGGCTCGCCCTTGTCCTGGAAGCGCTGGTTGTCCTTGTACTCGATCTTGCCCGCCAGGCAGCCAGTGCACGCCATGTTGGTCCTGCCGCGCGCAATCAGGAATGGGACCACAGCGACGGGGGCGACGGTGAGCCCAAAAACAAAACAAACAGCAGGCCTCGCCCACCAGCCAGGCTCGAGTGGTGCGGGTA